AACACAATATTTGTACTTATATTATAAAACTCAATAAAATCCAAGGCAAGGCCTCATTCTATAAAAAAAAAAAAAAATATGGAACGTACAATAAACAATCCAGTCAAACAAATAGAAGTAAAATTTTAACTGGCAGTTCAGATTCTGAATCGGTCATTTCTGCAAACCTTGTCTATAATTGTAATCCCAAATATGGAAAGTAAAATAAATCAGTAATTTCTGCAAACCTTGTCTATAATAAGGTTTTATTGATCCCAAATATGGAACGTACAATAAACAATCCAATCAAAAAAATAGAAAATTTTTACTGGCCGTTCAGATTCTGAATCAGTCATTTCTGCAAACCTTGTCTATAATTATAATCACAAATATGGAATGTAAAATAAATCAGTCATTTCTGCAAACCTTATCTATAATTATCGACAATAAGGTCCTTATCTATAATTATCGATAATAAGGTTTTATTGATAATCCCGGGTTCCTTAAAGCGGGGTAGATTTTGCGATATCAAACGAAAAAAAAGCAAAAAAAAAAGAAAAAAACGCGAAAAATACAAGAAACGGCAGTCAGAACCCACTTTGATGCATTAATAAAAAATGTCGAGAGGGAAATTTTACCTATATTAATAACTCTAACCCTAACGTAAAAGGGCCCTAACCCTAATGTTAATAAAATAATGATTTTTCACGTAATCTACACTCTTTAAGGACCCCAAATATGGAACGTACAATAAACAATCCAATCTAATTAATGAATTTGTGCGAAAATGAATATATTCATTCTGTGCCAAGACATGCAATATGTAATGCATTTAAGAAGGCCAGATTAGCCAAAATTGAGAGTTTTATGATTACGACAATATGCGTTTATTGTTCCTCGGCGTATTATTTTTATATTAAGAGATGGATGGGATTACCTGCAGAAGTATTTACTTGAGTACGAAGGCAAATCCGTCAAAAAGATTCGAAGGGTTGGGGACTTACGAGTAAACTAGACTGGTCAATAAACAAAATCAGGTGTAACGTGAAAATAAAAACAATCGAATAAAGTGAAAAATTTAAAGCGTAAAATATTAGTGTTAGTGTTAGAGATCGGATTAGTAAGGAGCTTATTATATGCAAAATTTAGTTAGGAATTTTTATTATTATTGCGCAGAAGGTGATTTTATAGGTAAATTTTTGAGTTATTGATGATTTTTAAAAAAACGTGATTTTACGTTACACTTGGACTTGTATTCTGATTTGTCAATAAACATGTGTATACATTTATTACACTGCATTACGATACATTCATTTTTACGTATATATAAAATCAGAAATTTCTTATTACTCCTACCAGCGTTTTCAAAATGAATTATTATTTATTATTATTAGCTACAATTATCAATTTACCAGCAATTCTTGCTGATACCCTTTCTGATAATTATGGCAAAACCATTTATTATTTCTTTGCAATTCCATATCCTAACGGTTCTTGTCCTACTGATAATTTTAGTATATACCATATCTATAATACAGATTCACTTCAAATCAATCAAATAATATCATATGGAGGAATTTTATTTACGGCAGGAGTTTTTGGAGTTCGCTCTGTTTTAGGATGGCGCCTTACATTTTTTCTTGATGATTATGTGATATTATTATTAGGACTTACACCTGTAATTCCATTTTACGTTATAATTCAAGTTAGTGCGAGGTTGAGCGTACAAACAAATGTTTTTGTTTATGTCACTGTAATATTATGGGTTTTTTTTTGTTGGATTCTTTTATCAGCAATTCACGATTTTAATTTTCATTATGATTTATCAGAAAATGTTAAATATTATATGAAAATGTTATTAGGATTTGCTCATTTAATTTTCTCTAGTGCCATTTTGGCGACTAATATATTCATTATATATTATGATTATTATTACTCACCAAACCCTCAGAGAGATATCGGTTATGTTTCAAATCAAGTTGCTTTTAGTTTTATTCTACATGTTATTTACTTTATAATGTCAATTATTTTAATAATATATTTTTTTAAACAACCAATTAACAAATACCCTTTACGCATATTCTTTATAACTTTTTTTATATCAGTGATAGATGTATTTTTCTGTTATGCCTATATTTGTTCACTTCCAATTATTGATAGTATATTTAACTTTTTTGTTGGTATGGTATTGACGAGAGCAGTAGCGGCATTATTTTCAGATAAAAAAAAAATTTATGATTATTTAATGGAAGTTGATGATGAGAGTAATTTGATGCCTATTGATAAAGATCGGGGGGAAGTGGATATAGATACTTACGAATTAGCAAAAAAACATAGATTTATACATAGATTTTTCGCATTTTTGTTCTTTTTAAATTATTCAAATGGAAAATTTATGTGGAGACAATCATTGGTTGGATATGTAGATAAAGAACAAAAATTTTTCACATCAAAGACTAATTCAATGATAATTAAATGTGAATCAGTGAAATATATTAAAGACAAACATTTAAAAGATTTAAATGATTCAAATAATTTAAATAGATTTAAATTAAAAATTAAAGACGACAAAATAAAAATTAAAGATGAAGATAAAAAAAGCATAAAAATTGGGAGTGCTGAGATAGAATTAGAAAGATTAAAACTTAAAATTAAGGGTGAAGATAAAAAAAGCGTTAATATCGATTTATTTGGAAGAGGAAAAATAATTAAACAGAGTAAAGACCAGAAAACCCCACGATATTGGAGTGCAACGTTAGATATCGAAGATAATCGAATGTATTTAGTACAAAAATTTGAAATTCAAGATATCGGGGTAGCTTTTAGTGGTAGAGTTTTTAGAAAAAATGTTCAATTATTCCCGAATTTCTATAACAAAAGTAGTGAATCGAGTGATAAATCAAAGAATGAAAGTAGTGAATTGAGTGATGAATTAATGAAAATCACTTATCATCATGGGGATTTTAAAGAATATCTAAATGATAAAAATGATGATAATTATAACTGGAAATTAGATATTAATAATTCAAAACTAATACTATTATTCGATGAAAAATATAAACCGAAAAACTCCGATACTTGGAATCTGAAAATCAAAAATAATAAAGCATTTATAACTAATACAAGGCTAATAGACGAATGTGAGGCATTAAACAATAATGGTAAAAAAGCCATCAACTTAGATAGAGATGTAAGCTTAAAAGGCAAATGGAAAATAGCAAATCAAAAGATTATTCATGAAAAAAAATCCCATGACAAATATAAAATTAAAAAAACAATTTTGAACGATAGTCCAAATAATGATAAGAATTTATGGGAAGACAAGAATTTATTGGTAGACGGTAATTCAAGATTAAGAATCGAAAAAAATGGAATATATATGGAATATAAATTGATTAAAGAAAATATAAAAAAGGCTGAAGCAAAGATAAATATTGATGATAAAAATGAAGAAATAGAAATTAAAGATCAAATGTCTAAAGATAATGCGTTGCACGTTGGAGATTATCCATTTTGGGATGCGACATTGAAAAAATATGAATCCAATATTTTCTTGAAACATAAAATTAATCAGGAAAACGTTATAAGTATGTCAATCGAAGGCAAAAAATTGATTAATTCAGATATTGAAGATTTTAAAAATGAAGAAGATTTTAAACAGAACGACAATGATAATATTATAAACCTTACGTATAGTAAAATTCAATATAGAGAAATTCTATATAGGAAAGGTTTAGCAGAAACATTCCAGTCATTGACAATAAATAATGAAGTTAAGATTACTAAGGAGGGTGACACAATAATAATACGTGAAATCGATAATAATTGGTTTAGAGGCATATGTAATTACATATGTAACCACATATTTAGTGAGAAGAGTAAGGATAAAAATGTTGACGAAATAAACAAATTAGAAATTAAGAGAAAATATTGGTTCAGGGAAGAAAAAAATCAATTAGAAATTAGTGTGGAAAATATTAATAAGAAACTTGCAAAAATTTATATTCTCGCGAATTCAATCATAAAAATAAAAAATCAAGATGAAATTATTAATCATCAAGATGAAATTATTAATCATCAAGATGAAATTATAAATCATCAAGATGAAATTATTAATCATCAAGATGAAATTATTAATCATCAAGATGAAATTATAAATCATCAAGATAAAATTATTAATCATCAAGATGAAATCATTAAAATGAAAAATGGTGGTAAATTAAAAATCGAAAGTACCCAAAGTGATGGACTGACGATCGTACTTTTGAAAAATATTACTT